AAGAGTTTCATCAGAGGAAAGATTGAGACAGATAGCTTTTTCGTAACAAAGGATATCAGCATGATTGGGGCTCAACCAATCCATGCCGATGATGACATCGAAGCTTTTTATGGAAACTGGCATAAGGTCGATAGGAAAAGAATGATCGTTCAAGGAAGGGTACAGCCTTCGTATATATCATTAGTGCTCTCTTTCTCACCGTTAGCCATCTCAACGGTAAATGTTTCAGTTAGAGGTTGAGGTTTATGTTTGAGAAGATGTTTAAATGCATGACTAACAAAACTCCTTTCCGCACCACAATCGAAAAGAATGCATGCATAAGAGTTGTCGAGGAGGAACGTACCCGAAACAACTGTGGGATCAGCGACTGCCTCCTCTTGCCCTATCGTTAGCACTCTCCCCGTGCCACCTGTTGTTGTTGCCTTGGGGCAGTTTCTCTTGTAGTGCCCGACTTCTCCACAACCATAACAAGCTTGACCGACGCCTGCTCCAGATGCCTGATTGGTTGGTTGGACTGGTATTTTGCAAACTCGAGTTGTGTGCCCCTTTTTGCCACAGCGGGTGCATGACATTTCTCGGCATGGGCCGGGATTATGATGATAGTTGCACTTGTCGCACCGAGGAAGGGTACCAACATATTTACTGGTAGGTGCTTGAGTGGCAGGAGCAGCGACAGGAGTAGTAGCAGCGTGGACTGCCACCGTTTGCTGTTTCTTTGAGGGATCCTGCGAAGACTGGTCCTTGCGCTACTTCCAGAACTTTCTTTTCTCACCACTCCCTTTTACTGGCTCAGGAGTGACCGTCACATTATCGAGATCAACTCTGTGATCTATGAGAGTTTGCGCCAGGCACTGAGCGCTGTCAAAGGTGTTTGGCCTAGCAGCCAGGACGTTTCCTTTGGTGGGTTGTGTCAGTCCCCATATGTATCTCTCTATTTTCTTGCTTTCCGGAGTGACCATTCCCGGACAAAGAAGCGCTAGGTCTTCAAACCTACAAGTGTAGGAAGCAATGTCGGATTCCTTCATCCTTAGGTTCCAGAGTTCGTGCTCTAGTTTCTACATTTCGCCCCGTGGGCAGTACTCAGCTAGCATGAGTTCCTTTAGGCTTTCCCAACCCATAGCATTTGACACTGGCAGGGTTAGGGATTTGACCCGACCATTCCACCAGGTCAGTGCCCTGTTGGCGAAAGTGCATGCGGCGAATTTTACTTTGTTGGCCTCAGAACAGGAACAAATTTCAAAAATGGACTCGATTTTCTCGAACCATTGAGTCAGGGCAATGACACCTCCTTTGCCGTCGAAAGATGTGGGTTTCGCATTCATGAAGTCCTTATAAGAGCACTCCTTCTGGTGTCCCTGACCACCTTCTTGATTTTGGGGATGAGTACCACTTCCTTGCCCACTAGATCTGCCAGAATTCATCTGTGACATCGCGGCAGCCACAGCAGCAGTAACAGCTGCCTGGAACATAACGGGATCGAACTGAGGGGGCGGTGGTGGTGGTGGAGTGTCGTCATTTCTTCTGATGAGTCTTTTTCGGGGAGACATCTCGTTCTAAAATAATCAGGAAGAAGAGGATGGTAAGTCCTCAAGATATATGAAACAAAATATATCTCATCCTGAAAATAAAGTGTTCTACCAAGCGATAAGCAAAGAAAGGTTACTAATGCAAGTAAGTTATCGCTAAGAAACGAATAGGTAGCAACACTAGGAATGAATTTCTACAATGTATTCGGCTCTGGCTAAAATAATCCTACAGTATTTTAAGTTGCATGTTTTGTTCTTTTGATACCTTGATGAATGGATACTAGGTAAGTTTTAGGCCTGTTGCAACACCAAAGTCACTCCCAATCACATGTTGGTCATGTCTCGAATAAATATAGTTGATCAGGCTATATTGACCCTAGACATGATTACATAACTGCCCAGGTTTAACCGCAGTGTTCAACATCCAAAATACTTTTGTTTTGTTCTACTCATGATATTGTTTCTGGTACGTAGGTATACTTGTATACTTCTTGTAAAAATACTTATATTTTTAAAAGTATACTTTTAGTTCAGAGTACTTCGGCCCCTTAGTGTTTATAGGTGTATACCATGTAAGGTTCGGTATACTTAGTTCACTATAAACAATAGCTCTGATACCAATTTGTCACACCCCGAAACCGATGGCGGAAACGTTCCGGGGCGGAGGACGTCATGTGTAGTATCACAACAGTTGTATCATAGTAAGCGAAGCAAACACAACCATTACATTATAATATGAGTATTTACATTGTTCAAAACATGGTTTATACATAACAGTATATGACAAAAGTAAAAGACGTGACTCCAAAACGCTCCGTCTTCTCCAAAAGTTGACAAGAGTACCTGTCTAATGTTGCCCTGAGAATACAAGCAATTTTAAAATATCATCATAAGGCTGGTGAGTTCATAAGCGTTTAGTTCTGGTGAAAGAAATGTTCCTTTGATCCTTTGAAAAGTGTTTCCCAAGAAAATCCTATATTTTCTTATGAAAAGATGTTTGATTATCCAATCGTTATTTGTTTAACAGCCTATTTATGAAAAGTTGAGTTGTCCCAGGAAAATCCTATATTTTCCTAAGAAGTTGAGCACAAGTTCCCTTGTACTTTTGCTAGTATTCCCCCCCCCCCTCTGAAAACATGAAAAACTCGGAAAAAGTGTAGGGGTATGAACTCACCGTTTGACGTAGGATCTGGGTGTATGATCGGTTACGAATGTTGAGTGTCAACCGATGTTTCGTACGCAAGTGGATCCTATTAACACGGGATAACACATATATGTGTTAGAATTAGGGTGTTTCATGACTAAACATGACGGGAAACCACCCTAAAGACTTGGAAAATGCTTCTCGGGACCCTATATGATCAAACAAGGGAGGTGTACGGCCAAAGGAGTGTGTGTGCGGCCAGGGTGTGCGGTCAGCCTGTGTGTGCGGTTGCACACAGGAGTGTGCGGCCGTACAGGGGGCGTGTGCGGCCGTACATGGGAGTGTGGCGGCCGTACAGAGAGGGTGTGCGGCCGTACACAGGGGTGTGCGACCGTACACTCCTCATTTGTGCCCGAAATGTCGATTTTGAGGTGTTCTAGTGCTAATACCAAGTCCAACTAGCAAATGGAGGCCAAACTCTTCACTTTGGAGAGTCTTAAGGTGTGTGCGGCCACCTCATGAAGGTGTGCGGCCGTACACCTTCAAGGGATGAAGAACACGAAGAACATTATGAGTTTTAGGCTTAGATTCAAGTGTTTTACCAATATAACAAGCTGAATGATGAAGTAGTTCACATTTTTGAGGCCTTTAGAGTGTTCTTGGAGGAAGTTTTTAGAGAGAGAAAGTAGAGAGAGAAAGTAAAGTGCAGCCAAATGAAATGAATGAGTGAAGGGGGTCACCTTATATATATAAGGGTGTGTGTGCGGCTGGAGAATGGGTGTGTGGCCGCACACCCATGTGTGCGGTCGTACACACCTCTCAAGAGGGTGTATGGCCCGGTTTTGTCTCTATACGACTCGTTGACTCATTTCTAATCTCATTCCTGGCTGTACTCAAGCTTAAAACACTTAAACTAACCCTTAAACGGCGTTAAAAGGTAACGGAAATCAAGTTCAATGTTGATAAAGTTGACCAAGTGTACAGAATAAAAGTTTCGGGTTGTCACATATTCCAACAACAATATTTTCTAAATATTTAGCTAATACACCATCTCAGTCTCATTGCATTTGGAAGTAAAACATGCAAAAAGTAAGCAATGAACCGTAGAAGAATTCCACTTTTTCATCACGACTCCTTTTTATTTCTCTCCGTTAGTCCAAGCAGATGAAAACATATTCTTTGATTGTCATGAATGTCACCAAGTAAATGTCTAGCTTTGCGGTCCTTTGGTAAAGATGTCGGCTACCTGATATAAAAAAAGGAATGTGTAACACCCAAAATCGACCTTTTGTGTTTTTTTCAAGGTATGGTGAATGTAAGTTGAATGTGCTTTGTATGTTGATGCAAAATGTTTCAAACGAATACATGTAAATTTCGTGTAGATAATTGTGGTCTTGAGAAGGGACATGTATATATAACTCCTGTTATTAGTTTCGAATTAGCATATTTCATTAACTAAGTTTTTCGCCCCTCATATTCAACCTTGACGCTAGATTGAGATATAACGAGTCGTCTATTAGAAGATTATGAAATGAGATTACAAGTAGACATGCCAAAATGTTCTAAGATTTTGGTCTCTTATTTCCTTTATGAGAAAATAAATTATATGATATTTTTTAGAAAGTATTAAATTTTGTCGTATTCTTTCATTGCAAATTCATTTGATAAATTTTATCAAGAGTTAAAAATGTTCATTATGTGTTTTGCGATGTAATACATCAATATAAAGTAACAAATATGACATATCGTGACCATTTTGTAAATTTAGAGTGAATGATCGATACAACTATAAGAGAAACCGAGTATATGTACATAATATGTAAACTGTTGGTATCATGCGTGTGAGAGTTGTCTTAAATCGTATAGAGATCTCATAAGCAAACAAACCCCAGATGTTTATAACCCATGAGTTGGTGTATATGCACAAATTATGTTTGTACCTCATCAATTGGAGATCTCTTCAACTCATTAACTCGATACTCGCTAAATCGAATAAAAAAAAAAAGAATCAATATAATTTAGACAATGAAAATTGATCTCTCCATTTTAGAAAGTTCACCATTAAAGCATCGTGATGCTGATATTGATATTTTTTTTATTATTAATGTTTATAAATTTATGTTACAATGTGAAACAACTAACAAGTAACCTTGTTACTCATAATAAAAAAAAATATGCTTCATAAAAAAACGATTAAAGATAGGTCGTATTAAACAAACTGACATTACATTACTTTTTGCTATTTTTACATGAACGTAGAAAAAGGGAGAATATTTGATAAACGACACGTGTCACACGCACGATTGCATGTTGTTCCCCTGAAATCACCGGCAAACGCACTCACCGGTTTTGGCGTTTCAAAAACCAAAAAAGCATCACCTTCACACACACCAAACACCAGATCCGATACAGGAAGACGCTCGTCCAAATGGATGAGAAGTTGATTCAGAGATTGGAGTCCGCCATAGCTCGGCTGGAATCGCTCTCCCCCGGTTCCAAGCCCCCATCCGGCACACTTGACGCCGTATCAGCGGCATCGGAACCGTCAATCGTCGCATATGACGATCTGCTCGTGGAATACGTCGTTAAGGTATCCCTTGCTGCGGAGAAGATCGGCGGACAAGTTCATGATATTACGATTGTTCTCAGTCAGGCTTTCGCTACTCAGAAGGAGCTTCTCATGAAGATCAAACAAACTCAGGTTATTTTTTTACAATTTTTTCATTTCCAATCGTGATCGGCATTACGCGTATAAATGGAATCATGTTGATTATCGTGAATGAAGTTTGGGACTCGTTTCTTCTGTTTAATTCACGTATTTCGTGTGTTTCTACCAAATCAGAAGAGAATTTATCATGTAAATCATCGCGATTAATCAATTAGGTTTTAAAAACCAGAAATTCATCGTGTTTAAACATCTAAGTAGCTGTTTCATGCACACATGTTACGTACATTATAGTTAATTCTTTTGTGTTTGTGAAATTGGATGAAAAACGAGACATGAACATTCCTTGGATTCGATAAAACAGATTGTTATGAAAAAAGCTCCATCAAGATGTAGTTGAATTTGATTAAAACCACACAAAAAAAATAAAAAATAATAATAAAATAATAATAAAATCGAAGCCACATTTAATTTGGGATAAAAACAAAACCTAAAAGCCTCCGATTGATTTAGAAGATGAAGTATTCTTTTCTTTCTTCTACTTTTATTTTTTACATCAATCCTATTATATACCCATAGTCCATAGACACTTTTGTTAGTGAATGTGAAGTAATGTTAATCATTGTATTCAAAGTTTAATTTCTACATACTAATCATGCAGAAACCTGATGGGGGAGGAATGACAGAATTTTTAAAACCATTAAATGATAAGTTAGCTCAAGCAAATAACATGTCAGAAGGAAAGCGTTCTGATTTCTTCAACCACTTAAAAGCTGCTTCTGAGAGTCTATCAGCTTTAATCTGGATTGCATATACAGGGAAAGGCTGTGGTAAGCAAAAACTCATAATTCTCACTTCATATTTTCCCATTTTCAACATCAATCTTGAATCAAAGCAACCATTATCTGTTCTTATCTTTTCAGGAATGAGCATGCCTATTGGACACGTGGAAGAATGTTGGCAATCAGCTGAATTTTACAACAACAAGGTACTTATCACTTATAAGTTCATCTTTATCCACCCCCTTTTCTTAAAGTTAACACGGGTTGTGACTTGTGATTGACTGATTGTTGGTATATTGATTGTAGGTTCTTGTAGAATATAAAAATAAAGATCCATATCATGTGGAATGGGCAAAAGCTCTTAAGGAACTTTATGTTCCTGGGTTAAGGGATTATGTGAAAGCTCACTATCCTTTAGGACCTTTATGGAGTACAACGGGTGCAGTTGTTTCTGCCCCAAAATCTGCCCAACCATCTGCCCCAAATCCTCCATCAGCTTCACTTGCCAACTTGGCATCTTCTTCTTCATCCCGCCCAAAACAAGGCCAAGGAATGGCTGCTGTTTTTCAGGAAATTAGTTCAAAGCCGGTTACTTCTGGTAAGTTTAAGTTCCATATTCCATTTTTGTTTTGAGTTAAATGTAAGAAGTAGCAATGTATTTCCATTGATCTGTTCATTATAACACCTTACTTTTATTTTCGTTATTATAACAATGTACTTTGAAATACTTAATGTCATCCAAATATAAAGCAATTTTTAGTGCTATAATTGGGTAGATTTTATTAAGTATAATGTCCTAATAATGAAAACCTAATGTTATTGACTCATGGTTTCATGGTTTTAGGATTGAGAAAGGTTACAGATGATATGAAGACCAAAAATCGCAAAGATAGAGCAGGGTTTGTGAGTTCTGGTGAAAATGAAGTTCAAAAGAGTGCACCAAAAACTGCTGCTAAAACTGGGCCTCCAAAGCTTGAACTTGTAATGGGTCGCAAGTGAGTATTTTACAGTGTAAAATGCAAGAAATAGCAACGTACTTCAATTCATTTGTTTATTATATTTATAGCATTTTACTTTCATGGAATTTTCATCGTTATAATTGGATAGGTTTTTCAAAGTTGAATGCCTTAATAAGAAAAAAAAAAGTGAAAGTGTAATGTTGTAATGGAAAGAAATGAAAGTAGGTTGCTATTTCTTGATTTTAGATTTATAGTATATGCTTTGTAATACATTTGGACATGAGGTTATTAATGGTGGATTTGAACCCTTTTTACATGATATACAGATGGGTTGTTGAGAATCAAATTGGTGTGAAGGATTTGTCGATTGATGATTGTGATCCTAAGCAAACTGTATATGTTTTTGGATGCAAAGATTCAGTTCTACAGATCAAAGGTAATAAATTCTATTTTTTTTCCTCCCTCCATAATCAAAAAAATTTTAATTTATTTATTGGAAGTTGAAAAGGCTTAATAAAAAAAAACATAGCTTTGGTACCATGATGAACTATAAATTCAACTCCCATTGAATAAGAATGATATTATGATATATATTAAAACAGAAGTGCTTATGAATAGTATCGTTTTATGGTTTTATACTTTGGCCATAAAAGTTTTTTATTTTAGACTGTTGCCACAAAGTATAGTTTTAGGGTTTTACACTTTAGCCATAAAACTTTTTTTATTTCGGACTTTCGCTACAAAACTTTCTTATGTTGTCAAATTTGGTCCCTACATTTTCGTACGTTCGCGTTTCCTTCCCGTTACTTTGTCAAATGCCACTTTCCACTCCTGTATGTTGTAAAATGTTAGTTTTACCCCCTCAAATTTGAACACCGGCATTTTCCACCCCTTTACCTTTCATATATTGGCATGTTTTCAGGTTTGATATGTTTGGTCCCTACATAGAAAATAAATTACAGAACGGTCCCTGTAATTTACAGTATATTTACATGAGTGGTGCATATGTTTAAAAAAATTTACAAAAATGCCCCTTCCTAATAACAAATTTACAAAAATGAGGTTTGATCCCTACATAGAAAATAAATTGCGAAAACGGTCCCTGTAGTTCACATAAAGGTCTCTGTGCATATTTTTTATCATAGAAACGGTCAATGTGTTTAAAAAAATTACAAAAATGGTCCTTACCTAATAAAAAATTTACAGATTATGCCCCCCTACAAATCAGGGGTAATATCACCCTAGTTATAGAAGAAATAAAGAGAGAAAAAAAGGAAAAAATACATTACTACTTACTTCCTGCAATTTGCCCATATATAAAGTACAAACAAGGAATCAACTAACTGATGACGTGGCATTCTGTCCCACAACTTAACTAATTCTTTCACGATAATTAATTTGACCTTGTTTACTGCATGCAGGAAAAGTTAACAACATCACTGTTGACAAATGCACAAAAATGGGCGTTGTATTCACAGTCAGTAAAAATTTATGATTTTTTTTTAACGTAAATTTGTGTATCTGATGACTGAGTGTTAAATTTGGAAAACAGGATGTGGTTGCTGCTTTTGAGACTGTTAACTGTAGCAGTATTGAGGTGCAATGCCAGGTAATATATACTATATATCAGTTTTGTTGAATTAATGTTAGTTAATAATAATATGGTGAAACAGAAATACGTTATTTTGTTATTATATAAATGTACAGGGTGCAGCCCCTACTATTTCTATAGATAATACATCAGGGTGCCAGCTGTACTTGAGCCGAGAGTCTCTAGAAACTTCTATAACAACTGCTAAAGCAACTGAAGTTAATGTCATGGTGCCTTCCTCAGATCCTGATGCTGATCTGGTATGCTTGCTTCCGTTTTTTTTCTTCTTAAAAAACTTTCTGGGGGTAGTTACGTCATTTGCACACACAAGAGATCGAAAACAAGTCCTGGTCAAAGTTTCTGACTCAGTCCAATACAGGCCAAACACAGTAAAAGTTGTTCTGTTTTGTCATGTCATGTACTGATATGGTTGCAGGCAGAACACCCTTTGCCACAGCAATACATTCACACTTACCAGGATGGAAACTTTGTTACAAACCCTGTCTCACATTCTGGAGGCTAATTTAACGGGTGAAACATCTATCCATCATGCAAGCTTAATGTTTCAGCCATTTTCCTCATTACTTTAATTCTTTTTAGAAGCCTCAAAGTGCTTCACATATTCATTTATTTCAAAATTTTGTTGCTTTTCGGCTTTTTTTTATTTGTCTGATTAAAAGTCTGAATACATTGCTCAAGAGTTCTGTTTTTTTTTTTGGGATGCGATTCGTTATTTGTGTTCATGATAACATTGCTTTACAAACACTTTTTTTTCTACAAAGATTAATGTTCGACAACTAAAACGTTATAATTATAGCTTTGTACTCCAATTTTGAAATAATTGGATAGATTTTTCAAAGTATTACATTTTAAATTTTTAATAGAGAGAAATTGAAAATGGATGCTGATTTTTTTTAAAGTATAATATCCTAACAAAGAAAAATTGAAAATGGATGCTGTAAATATGGAGGTTTTTTTAAAGTATAATGTTTTAATAGAGAAAAAAAGGTTCAAAATGAATGTTATGATTGGATAGATTTTGGTGAGGAATGTACAATGTTGTAATACATAGAAATTAAATTGGAACTAGGATTGTGCCCGATGAAAGTTGCAGCAGCATCAATTTGTTTTGTAAGTTGATTTTGACGAGTGTATGGATAAAAATTAGGTACCGTTGCATTTGTTCGTAGATAAATATACAAGGTCGGTATCTCTGATTAACTTCAATATATACAGTCAAATGAAAACGTATTATATGTGATCAAATTTAGGAAACGTATATAAAAATAAGCACGAAAGCGTAAAGAAAATAAAATTTATACTGATACGTACATAAAAAATAAGTATATATGATTTTTTTAAGTTAACGAAAGGAAATTCAAATAATTTAATACGTGACTTGTATTATACGTAGAAAGCATACAAAAAAATAAGCATGAAAACGTCGAAAAAAATTACGTCGAAACGTAGACAAACTCGAATTTATGTTGACACGTACATAAAAAAGAAATCTTTTTTTTTAAATTAACGAACGTAAGTTCCAATTTTATGTTGAAATGTTTGATCACCTCAAATTTATACCGATACATACATAAACATGAACGTTTACAAAACAAAGGGAGTGAAAATGATATTTTATAAAATTCAAAATAAAGAGGGTTAAAATAACAATTTAAAAAGTAGAAAGGTAGAAAATATTTTTTACAAAGTGTTTTAAAAAGTAAAATTATAGAAAATGTCAATTTACAAAAGTAGAAGCACGCTTAATTGACAAATGATTAAAATTTTCAATTTATAAGAGTAGAAGCGTGCTTAATGTTAGTGGAAACTTTCACCGACATTAATATAGGGATTTTCTAATATGTGTCCTAAAGGCAACGTATAAAAAACATTAATTGAAGTATTAATTATGATGAGTATTACCATAATTAAATGTGATAAACATTAATATAAATAGTATTCTTTATAATTAATGTATTTTACATTTAATTATGGTAATATTACACATAATTAATGTTTAGCATTTAATTATGGTCATATTTCTTATAATTAATAATTTAATTAATGTTTCTTATATATGCCCTTAGGACACATATTAGAAAATCCGTTTAATATATGGTTAATGTTATAATACATAAATAAATGAAAATAAATTATCATTTCTTGTATTTAGCGAGAGTCGAGATAAATGTATAAGTTTTTTTTTCCGCTTTAATAGTTGGGATTATGCCCGTAATAGCCATATTTTGGGTATAGTTTCCTAAATATAGGCACAAAAATCAGATTTTATCCAAAATAGACATCGATTCCGCAGAGCTACCTTCGAGGGCTCCGCGGAATGAACTTAATGCTCCGAGAAATCGATGTGACAAAAAAAGCTGAAAAACAGTTTCGCGGAAGGATGAACGCTGAAGAACAGTTATACGGAGCTCCCTCTACAGCCTCTGTGGATCCGTCAATTTTACATATATGTTGAAACATCCCAAAAATACGGTCCAAAAATTTCGTTTTAAAATCATTATTTAAACCATAAAACATCCATCATCATAATAAAACAAGAACCATGTATCTCAAAAACATCATGTCAAATACTGTATCAAATCATATAAGTAATCATCAGAGTCTAAAACAATCCCAGGTTGAAACTGTGGTGTGTGCCATGCGATCATCCCGAGCCCTTCCCTTTACTAGTGGAAGTACCTGAAACCAAAACTGAAAACTGTAAAAAACAAAGCTTAGTGAGTCTCCCCAAGCTACCACATACTATACATATAATCACATATTGGTCCTGGCCCACTGCATCGGGCCCTGCCCGGCATCGGACCGAGGTCCGGCATACTTGGGCCTAGCCCCTGCATCGGGCCCCGCCCGACATCAGACCGAAGTCCGGTATACATATCATGAGCATAATATATTCATATACATAAACATAAGCGTAACAAGAAAGCTAACATTCCTCGGGCTTGCCCCGGCATCGGACCAAGTCTGGAACACCTAATCACACACATGCAAAAATCACAAAGACATCAAGCATACTAACTGCATTGGGCCCCGCCCGGCATCAGACCAAAGTCTGGAACATAAAACCTACATCGGGCTAACCCCAACACATACGATCACACATAAACAGGTCGGCCTTAGTGCCTTAGACCCGTTCCTATAGGAGAAAACTCACCTCGCAAGAATGACTGCTGAAAACTCGAGTGAGGAATCCCTGTCTGCTGTCCCGGCGACTCTCTGACTATAAATCCATAATAACACTTAATCAAAAACTGATAACTCTTCATAGGGTAAAATGACCATTTTACCCCTGGTCAAGGTCAATGCTCTGGTCAAAGTCAACATTCTGGGTTGACCAACTCGCCGAGTCGACCTCTTGACTCGCCGAGTTCTATAGCTCATAAATCCTGAAAACACGATTCAACTCGCCGAGTCGTTCCACCGACTCGTCGAGTTCTATCGGGATGCTTAGTCGCGACTTGGCTCATCCACTCGTCGAGTCCTTCTACAGACTCGTCGAGTTCTACTAACTGAAATCGGGACAACACGATACGACTCGTCGAGTTCCCTTATGGACTCGACGAGTCCTTTTGTCTGTTTGGCCATCTTAACAGATTAAGCCCCTATCTCCTAGATCCAAGGTCCTTAGCTCGTTTGGCCACTGGAAAGGCCCTCCTAAGGGTAAAGTTTCCAACTTTGCCCGTTCATAGCTCTTCTAAAAGGGTTTAGACAAAACCCTAATTCCTATAAAACATGAATCTTGTCCAAAAGGATATATAATCTCAAATCCACGCATACAAACCCAGATCTAAGGTTTTAGCATCTGATGGACACATAAAGCTCCGAACTTTCCTTCCATGCATGGTCTTTTAGGGCTAAAAAGACCATAAACTTGTTTATATGCTTGCATGGGGCTTCCATGGTCATAAAGTTTGCACCTTTATGCCATGGAACCCTTTCTAGATCCTAGATCTGAGATATAAGTCACTTGGGACGTCCCAACCCCAAGGACCAAGGTGCTAATCTTCTGTATCTACATGTTCTTTGTAAAAACCGGTAAAATTCGGTCAGAGTTCGACGATCAAACCCCCGTGAGCCGTTATGCAATAAAGACCAATGGCACGTAAATTGGGGTCTATTAAGTATATGTGTTTGTATTTCTAATTTAACCAACCGAGATTTAACGAATTAATAAATGTTACGTCCTCATTATATATATAAGTTCAAATATATATATATATATATATATATATATATTATATATATATATATATATAATTATATATATATATATAATATAGATATATATATATATATATATATATATATATATATATATATATATATATATGTGTGTGTGTTAATTACTTTTGCAAAATATCTAAATACAAGTATGATATTGATGTATATATATTCGAAATAAATTATACACTAACAAATATATAACAAGTTACAATTATTCAAATATATAACCATTTACAATTATTCAAATATATAACCATTATCATTATACACTAACAAATATTTAACAAATTTACAAGTATTCAAATATATAGCAATTATGTGAGCTGTCAAATTGAGGCAACTGTAAATCTTCTTCCGTGATTCCTGCTTACTCAATTCCTTTCTCCTGGTTTCCTGCAAACCATCAAACAAAACCCACTCATTTCAATCTATCTGGCCCCATTCCTTCTCTTAGAAACCAAAACGGGAGGTTGTTGCCCCCTTTCATTCCAGCTTAATTCCTGTTGTTTTGATGAGAAAAACAGGTCCCAAACACCATTGAATTCTCTTTCATTCCCTGTTAAATTCTGTCAAGCAATCAAACACAATCACCTATCGAAAACCTGTTGATCAAACTCCATGATTTGCAATCAAAATCACAAACACAGACAAAGAAAATTGCCGTTTCTTCTGCACCTCACCTTACCTAAAACCACACACTACATATTATACAAAGCTCACAAGCTATTACTCAAGCTAATGATGAACCAAATTGCTCACCTCAAAACAATTGCTTTCTTTCTTTCCTTGCTGTTGGGATCGTTGGCTATGAAGAACATCACCAGAAGTGGTGATTTCCGGCCATTGAAGAAGTATCAGCCCTTCCCTTCATCTTCATTGTTTCCTGCCAAGAACCACCGGTGGTGGTGGCTGTTTCCGGCGAGACCAAGAGGGGCAGCATCCCCGTTTTCTTCCTGCTATTTCCTGTCAATTGAAACAGCAAAACACCCCACAATATCAGTGTTTGATTTTGCTTCTTCTCTTCCCCTCTTCTTCAATTTCAATCACAGAAAAACCCCACAGGAGGTGGGGATCTCCGACAGTAAAAGAGGGCAGCAACCCCTCGCCTCTTCTCTTCTCTCTAGTCGGATCAACAATAAACCAGAACAACTTACCTGTCGCTGTTTCTTTGCCCATCGGAACAACCTCCGCTCCCTGGCTCCCTTCGCGAATCGTCACCGACGAAGATGAGGACCGAAGTCCCTTTCTCAGTCCTCTTTGTGATTGGTTTCGTCCATCGAGCCACCTGAGTCACCGTCGATTTCTTCTTCCCCTTGGTTTCTGTCGCCGGCGATGAAAGAAGGACTGCAGTGGGGCGTCGGAGCTGGGTGGCTAACCCTCGTCGCTGCTTGCTTCCGTCCGTTCCAACCGC